CGCAAGCCCGCCTGTCCAGCCCCCTCACCTTCCGGCTCCTCATGAGTATGAGCGGCGCGCCCCCGAACCGCCGCCGCCCCAAGCCCTAACGCTTTCAGGGGAGCAGCAACAGGAGGATCTCCGTCCGCGTCGCGGAGATTGACGTCACCAGAGAGTTGGCCAATCACCGCCCGATTCTCAAGCATGTGACCCAACAAAGTTGGCTTTTTCCGTGAGCGGGCTGGGCGCGGCACTGTGCGCGTGCGTCTGAGGGCAGAAAGTTGAAGCCGAGGGTACCTAGTCGGCCATGTTTGTGAGGGGCACTTCCCCTAACACGTTTTCAGTTGCTATGTTTAAGAAGGGCAAATGGATATGATTGTGACGGTTTTCTCTCTTTAGATCGGATCTCCTTTCAACTGGTTTTTTGATTTCTCTTCTTGGTACCTGTGTGGCCGCCATGTTTAAAAGGGGCCAAGGGTCTTGTTTGTATCAATTCTAGAAGCCTGTCGTTGAGTGTCTAGAGGCGGCAGAAGTGATTCTTCTGCTATGCTTTCTTTTCATACTAGCTCAAGAGGCGTGTTTCTTTAGGGCTGCCCTTCCCCTGAATCCTGAGCACCAATAACAGTTTTGTCCAAACGCATGGAAGTCCCACCAGGCCTTGGTGGACAGACTGAAGCTGTCCTTCTCCTTGAGGTTATGGTGGTGAGGGCCCAATCATAGGCAACCCTTGTCTTCCCCGAGGGCACCCCAGACAACAGTTTGGTATTTCTTTGTAAACTTTTAATTGTGAATTGAGTGAAGGTTTACAAAGCAGATCCAGTTTTATACTTAGAAAACCATGTCCTCTGTGTTAGGGACAGAGCAGGAACCTAACAGCCAGCCTAAATGAACCCCAACGCCTGGCACTTGAATCAACAATTCCTGGAAACTTAAGCCCAGCACACCTGAGAAATAGGGCAGTGCCATGTGGTGCTGTGGGTTAATGAGCTGGACTGCAGAGTTGGTTTAAACCGCAAGGTCGGTGGTTCAAGCTCACCAGCCGCTCATTGGAAACTTTCTACAGGGAAGCTATGAGTCAGAACCGATTTGAGGGCACTCAACAATAACAAGACCATCAAAAAGGGTGCAAAATATGTGCTACCTAGACCCTGCCACCAATCAGAGTTAAATCTGAGGGAAAGGAGTTAAATACACCTGGGGAGAAAGAATAGAAGCTCAACACTCTTTCTCGCTCAGAAGAGAGATGTCTGTTTCTCTTCTGAGAATTCATAGCTTAATGAACCTGGCTTATTATTTGCTGCCTTTGGTCTATGTGTGTTGTTTGCGCCAACTTCAAGTGGGTCTTACTAGACCTGCGGAAGTTAAGGTATCAGACTCTAACCCTTGGCTTCATTATAATGATTGCAGTCTCTTCCATGTACCAACACAATTGGATTCTTCCTCGTATCTCCCGCCATCTTCATCTTTCCTCTGCCAACTTCCTTCCCTGTTGTATATATATTGTCTGCCCTGTCATCCATGATAACATGTATCTACAGCACCATGGACTGCCAAAAGACCAACCAATCTGTGTGGAAGAAGTAAAGCCAGAATGCTCCTTAAAAGCCAGAGGCACCACCTTTCATACTTCTGACATATTATCAGAAGAGACCAGTCCCTGGAGAAGGACATCATGCTTGGTAAAGTGGAGGGTCAGGAAAAAGCAGGGATACCCCCAATGAGATGGATTGGCACAGTGGCAGCAGCAGTGGGCTCAAGTGTAGCAATTGTGAGGTAATGTAGGACCAAGCAGCGTTTCTTTCTGTTGTGTATAAGTTCAATATGAGTTGGCACAGATTTGATAGCACCTTTGGTAACGTAGTGGTTATGGATTGGGCTGCAAACCTCAAGGTCAGCAGTTCGAGACTACCAGCTGTTCCATGGGAGAAAGATGAGGGTTTCTGCTCCTGTAAAGATTTACATCCTTGGAAACCCTGTACAGGGTCGCTATGAGTCAGAACCGACTCCACGGCACACAACAACAACAACACAAACAACAAGATCAGTCACGAGGTACAACGCTGTCTGTGATAGGACAATATCCCTGTGCCTACAGGGAAGACAAATTAAAACCACTATTTTTCAAATTTACCCACCAAACACTAAAGCCAGTGAGAACGGAATAGAAGAATTCTACCAACTTCTTCAATCTGAAATAGATCAAACATGCAATCAAGATGTATTGATCATTACTGGTGATTGGAATGTAAAGATTGGGAACAAAAAGGAAGAATCAGTAGTTGGAAAATGCCTTGGTGATAGAAATGATGCTGGAGAACGCATGATAGAATTCTGCAAAATCAATGATTTGTTCATTTCAAATACCTTGTACACATGGACCTCACCAGATGGAATACACAGAAATCAAATTGACTACATCTGTGGGAAGAGACAATGGAAAAGCTCTGTATCATCAGTCAAAAAAAGGCCAGGAGCAGATTGTGGAACAAACTATCAATTGCTCATATGCAAATTCAAACTGAAGCTGAAGAAAATGAAAACAAGTCCACGAGAGCCAAAACATGGTCTTGAATATACCCCACCTGAATTTAGAGATCATCTGAAGAATAGATTTCATACATTAAACACTAAAGACCAAAGACCAGAAGAGTTGTGGGATGACATCAAGAACATCCTACAGGAAGAAACCAAAAAGTCATTAAGAAGTGAAGAAAGAAGGAGAAGATCAAAATGGATGTCAGAAGAGACAGTGAAACTTGCTCTTCAGCATAGAGATGCTAAAGCAAATGAAAGAAATGAGGGTTCAAGGGCTGAACAGAAAATTTCAAAGATCAGCTCAAGAAGACAAAGTCAAATATTACAATGAAATATGCAAAAATCTAGAGTCAGAAAACCAAAAGGGAAGAACACGCTCAGCATTTCTCAAGCTAGGGGAACTGAAGAAAATATTCAAGCTTCAACTTTCATTATTGAAAAATTTTCAGGGCAAATTATTGAATGATCCAGAAAGCATCAAAAGAAGATGGACAGAATACACAGAGTCACTGTACCAAAAGGAAATAGTTGATGTTCAACTGTTTCAAGAGAGAGCATTTGATCAAGAGCCAATGATCCTGAAGGAGGAGGTCCAAGGTGCATTGAAGGAATTGGCACAGAACAAGGCACTGGAAATTGATAGAATGAAAATTGAAATCTTTCATGAAAGTGAGGCGGCACAGGAGGCACTCACTCATCTCTGTCAAGAAATTTGGAAGACAACTATCTGGCCACCTGATTGGAAGAGATCTGTATTTGTGCCCATTCCAAAGAGAGGTAACCCAACGGAATGCAGAAATCATTAGACAATCTCTTTGATATCCCATGCGAGTAAATTAAAGGTACTACAGAAATGGCTGCAAGCATACTTTGACAGAGAACCTCCAGAGATTCAAGCCGGATTCAGAAGAGGACGTGGAATGAGGGATATCATTGCTGATGTCCGATGGATCTTAACACAGAGAATACCATAAAGATGTTTACCTGTACTTTATTGACTATGAAAAGGCTTTCAATTGTGTGGATCATGACAAGCTATGGACAACATTGCAAAGTATGAGTATTCCAGAACACTTAATTATGCTCATGAGGAATCTGTACATGGACCAAGAGGCAGTTGTTTGAACAGAACATGGGAACACTGAATGTTTTAATATTAAGACAGGTGTGCGACAGGGTTGTATTGTTTCACCATACCTATACAACCTGTATGCTAAGCAAATACTCTGAGAAGCTGAGTTATATATTGAAAAACTTGGCATCAGGATTGGAGGAAGACTCACTAACAACTTGTGATATGCAGATGATACAACCTTGCTTAGTGAAGAGGACTTAAAATACTTACTGATGAAGATCAAAGAGCATAGCCTTCAGTATGGATTGCATCTTAATGTAAAGAAAACAAAAATTCTCACCACTGGACCAATAAGCAACATCCTTATTAATGGAGAAAATATTGAAGTTGTGAAGGACTTCGTTCGTGGATCAACTATCAACACTCATGGAAGCAGCAGTCAAAAAATCAAACAATGTATTGCATTAGGCAAATCTGCTGCAGAAGACCTTTTTAAAGTGTTGAATAGCAAAGATGTCAGCTTGAGGACTAAGGTTTGCTGGACCCAAGCCATGGTATTTTCAATAACCTCATATGCATGTGAGAACTGGAGAGTGAATAAGGAAGACCATAGAAGAATTGATTCATTTGGGTTATGGTGTTGGAGGAGAATATTGAAAGTGCCATGGGCAGATAAAAAAAAAAGAGTAATCTGCTACAATTTGATGAACTTGACCCTCTGGAACTAGGCTCACTCTTGAAAACTTGTAAGCCTGTCACTTCTTGCTATTGTAGCCCCCCCGCCCCCTTTTTGGGTAGCCAATGTCCAAGTTGCCCATCCCTGTCAACCCTGTGTACCAAGAGGGTGGGAATGATCCTCGCTGTAAAGATTTGTTCCCCATTTTGAGCTACTACATCCATAAGTATAGGTCAAGTTCATCAAATTGTAGCAGATTACTCTTTTTTTTTTCTTCCCTTCTTCTTTCTTTTTCTAGTCGAGTTCTGATCTTTCAGCCATTGAAGCCAGGTCAAGTGGGTACATCTGCAAGTATTGGTGTTCTTGTGCATCTCCCCTCACTTCATATCACCCGGACACTTCACTCTCCACACTAGTCCTCTGTGGCCTTGTCCCTGCCCCTGGGTGCAGGAGTCCCCAGGTCTTGCCATACTGCTGGCCAGCAAGGTCTCAACTTGGGTTCATAGTGGTCAGACTTAGCTCACAACTTCATTGCTGTTTTTCCCCCACCTCCCCTTATTGGTGACCAACATGGTCACCAGCCAGACCACATGTCTACTCATGTATTCCCCTTGAGTCTTAGTCTTGGAAGGGGGTTTGTCCTGAGGGACATGACCACTTGCCTTGATGGCTCCCAGGTGAACTACATGCTTGTTCTTGTAGTGTAGTCAATCGGACTGCTGTTACTGTTTTTGATTTTTCCTGCCTGTCTTTCTTTCAAGTACTATCTTCTGTTTTT